AAAAATGGCTTGGCCAGCTGATTTGAAAAATGTTCCGGAGGGCTTGGCAGCGAAAGGGTTAAAGTGACACTAAACTCAGGAGTTAAATCTTAAAAATACATTCAAGTATCTTAACTATTAACAAAAAAATGTATCTTATTTGAATATCACTCAGCTGTAGATCCCCAAATCATCTCTGAATTGGTGCTGACACTGTCCTTCCTTCTGGAGAGTGGTTACTTTTGTTCCCCATGGTCCCTGTGTGTGTTGTAAAGTAGCCACTGCTCCAAGCAAAAAAACAACAGCTATGATTATATTTCTGATAATGGCCCAAGAGAACCAGTGACATGGGTGGGTAGTTATTGGGGGTGCAGACTTAAGTTGTTGTCTGGCCCACATTGCAGAGCGGAGGCCTCATGTGTCATGTAAGCTTATCCTCACTGCCATGTGAGTACCTAGCTTGTGCACTACCCTGGAAAAATGAACCAACGGCAGAGGCAAAATAAAGTATAACAGAGACTTTATCAAAATTCAAGACTACTTATTCGCTATATGTATGTATATGTATTCTTTGTATGTATCACTGAAAGAAGTGGCCCAGAGTGGAAATTTAAAAACTGCTCTGCTCCCTAAGGAAGGTTTATACAAGTAAGAGTGATAAGGTTAATGAAGATTATCATCTTTGTCCCCAGTTACCTACTCTGAGTTATCTTTTAAGGGGCCTACATGCTTAGACAACCTTTGAGGAATTTCAAATCAATAATTATTAACACCAAGTATAAATATGACAATGGTGAATACTTACACCTTCATAAACAGTTAACTAGAAAAGGATATTTATAAAGATGAAGAACAAGATGTCACCAGCACACTGTCTTTATTGGCGTCTACCGTATATGAACATCTTTATTGATGCATAGACATATTGTCACAAGGTTGGTAAAATGTCTATGCGCCCCATGTTTTGGGGCCTCAAAGAGTCCCATCATCAGGCTAAATTGAGCCTGATGGAGGGACCCTATGTGGCCCTGAAGCTACCAAACATCTTCAACATTACAGAACAAGTCCTGTTGAATGTGACAAAGTACTACTAGTTAAACCATGACCTGAATAAATGAGAACTTTCACAGGCATCTTATACCAAAGTGTGTATGGCCTTTTTATATAGAGATAAATTCAAAAACCCCATTCCAGAGGGATGGATGGTAACAAATATAACAGGTGTGAAGTGCTTGTAAAACACATCAGACATGCACCCCGCTGCAATTGCACTAAATAAAAAACACAGACTAACAGGTCTATTCACAAAAGGGTGAAGAGTTTGGAGAAGGCAAGAGAAGTGAACAACCTAGGACAACATAGCTGAACTGGAGAGTGAGCTGAATCTGAGAATTTTTCCTGCCTTCTCCAAACTCTTCACCCTTTATGGAATAACCCTGTAAATCTTGTCCAAAATGTGTTTGAAAGTACAATAACACATCAATCCAAGGTACAATTCACAGATCCTGCAATCTGCATTGTATTAAATTAGTTGAAATTGTTTTAAATACATGATTGCACTGGTGCATTTGTCTCTTAGGACAGCAGTATTTGTCTATAACAGTTTTTGTGGCAGTCAGCAATCCATGAACAGCTTATTTAAAACCAAGGAAATGTGCCACTTTGCAAGAGCTGGAATTCTATCTAGAAAGTGCTGCCACTCTGCAGTTTTCACACAGTATAGCTGCAGCCACGGAAAGAATGACTTGGCATTTTTAGGATTTTTATGAAAAGTGTCTCGAAGCACAAAAGTAAATTGATATTTTTTTCCCCTGCTGAAATGTAGGTCATCATTTCTTTAAAAAAATCAGAACAGAAAAGATATTGTGACTGACCAGTTACTTCGTAAGAACTTTCTACATTTGGTAATTTATTTTAAATTATGCATTATAAGCTGAAGTATATCTAAAGTAATGTTGAAGCTGATTTGTTTTTAAAGGTGCAGGATCCATTGTGTTCTGGTTCTGTGTTCCCTAGCTTGCGATTTATTGATCTAAATTTATTAGGCATGATGGACCTGCAGACTTTTCATACTTTAAAGATAGGGACCATCGTATCTGCTTGGGTTCAGTTCACGAACAGTTTTGCAA